CCGACTTGTATCACCATTGCTAGACGCAACGGTCCCAGTGCTGCTGTTAGAAGTGTTGTTGTTGCTATTGTTGACCGTGGTGGCAGTGATCGCGACGGCCCCACCTGACTGAGATGCTGATGACGTCGGTTGGTGTTCTTGATTAGGGGGTGATCCTCCAGGGAGAAGATGGTGTTGATTATACTGATGATGATGATGATGATGCGCCTGCTGCTGATGTTGTTGCTGCTGCTGATGATGTTGTTGTGCCTTCGGTTGCTGAGAAGAGGTCTGCTGGCCGGGTAGAAACACCCTCAGTGGTTGGCCCGGCTGGCCCGGCTGGATAATCTGCAACTGGGAGAGGGCCTCTTTGACGCCGGCGGACACCGCCTTTTCTATGGCTTGCAATAACCATTCCACGTCGTCTGTGGGGAAAGCGGCCATTTTTTTTCTACAGTCGGTTTAAAGAAGGAGGAGAAGGCGGAGTAGGAGGCAGACACGAGGAAGGAGATGGAGGGCCGAGACACGCACTCACACACACAAGCACTCGCACACACATGCACACATACGCGCACTTTCACACACACACGCACACATAGAGGCGACGAAAGGTGTTATTTAAAATAATAATAATATTAATAATAAGTTTAAGAAAAGAAAGTGAGAAAAAAAAGACAGAAAAAATAGACGAGAAAGAAAAAACACAGCGGGCCGGTTCTTAAATATCTTCTTTCTCACAATAAGTAACATTTGAAACCCTAAATTTAAAACTTGATACAAACAGGCATTTTTTTCAAAGTAGCAAATCACTTTTATAATTGTTTTTTTTTTTAAAGAAACGTCGAAAAACCTTAACTATAAGAAGAGGAAAGAAGAAGAAAAAAAGGAAAAGTAATCCACCACTGATTATCGCCTCTCTTCATATATTTAAAAAAAAATTGTACGAAAAACAGCGACCTGTAGAATTGACGTCTGGGCAGTGCTTGTAAAGCAGACAAAAACGCACACCGTGTATTAAAATCATAATTGTTAGGTTCACCAATTCTTTCATCAACATTTACTGATGTTGAATGCATAAATAAAAATTCCTTTTAGACTTTTAGTTCTCATTTACATAGAATAAATAAATCCATTCTTTAAACAAACCATCTCCCTCCTAAACTATTTCCCACTTATTACTCTCTCTCTCTCTTTCTCTAATATGCAATTCATATCTATATCTCTCTATATAAATTAAATATATATATATATATATATTTAACACGTGTTGCTAATTCCTTACATATTTAATTACGTTTAATCTAATCTAATAATTCTACATTGTACAATTATAGCATTCCATAAATTTTGAGCGTAGTGTAAATAGTCGCTACAAGTAGCCATGCACTCTTATGAAAAGCCCGGGAATATATCAAAAAAGGAAGAAGTAGTAAACAAATCAATGACTGCATAGGTTTTTAGACTTTAACTGTATATAAAAAGTATCTTATATTCAATGTGGTTGAAGATAAGGTATTTTGGTAAACGATTTTGTGGTGAAATATTAAATAAAAAACCAAAGAGAGAGAGAAAAAAAATATATTAAGAAATGTAGCATTTCGCATGTGAATGTAGGCATGTATGGATGCATGTAAGAGAAAGATGTCTAGACGAGGTTTTTTTTTTTTAGAGAAACGAATGGTGGGGAATAATAAAATATCTAAAATAAAGTAAATATTAATAAATAAGTGAAAAGAAATGTGCTTGTGCGATAAAAATAAAATTAAAAAAAATCTGTGGTTTATAAAAGGAAAAATGGTCTTGCAAAGAAAAAAAAGACTGAAAATGTTAAAAAAAAAATTAAAAAAAAAAAAAAAAAATGAGAAAAATATTTGGTAGAAAAAAAAATGTTAAAAAAGAAAATTTCTAAATATTCCTAGACAGAAATTGGGAAAAGCCACTCACAGGCTTCTTTTTTTTTTTTTAAATTTTTCTTAAACGTTATAAAAATAAGCGTGCTTGTGATAAATCGGGAAAAAAAGAGACAAAGGAAGATTCTTAAAGAAAAAAAAAAAAAAAAAAAAAAAGGAAGGAAATTATTTTAAAAAAAATATATTAAATACTTATTTCTTAAGAAGTGTGGGAAACAAAAAGAAAAAACAAAGAAATTAAAAAAGAATACAAAAGAGGGGGTAAAAAAAAACAAAAAAAAAAAGAAACAAATAAAAAGGTTTGCTCTTTTTTTTTTTCGGGCAAGATATTAAAAAAAAATTTTAAAATTACAAATCATATGTACACATTAAGGGGGAAAATCGTCATATTTTTTTTCTATTAATAACCGGGACAAGCAAAAAAAAAAAAAAAAAAAAATGTTAAAAAAATACAAAAAAAACAAACAAAAAAAAACGTTATTGTCTCGCAAAAAATCTGGGATTTTTTTCTCTTCTTTCTTCCTTCTCTCTCTTTGAACAAAGAAGAAAAGTAAAATATCAACCCCTCTCTATTCGGATGCCGGCTGGGCTAATTAAAAGAAAAGAAAATAAAAAAAAAAAATTTTTTAAAAATTAAAGAAAAGAAAAAGTCTAGAGGGGAGGTGCGCCGAAAATCCACCTTCATAAATAAGTAAATAAATGCGTATATGAAATATACAAATAAAAGAGAAACAGAAAAAAAAGGGGGGTGGAAAGACTGTGGAAGGGGTTTGGGGGAGGGGAAAACGGGCACTTTGCGAGGCTCTTTAAAAAAAAATTAGAAAAAAGTAACAACAATATTCTTTTGTTTTAAGTTTTCCTGTTATCACAAAAACTGTTTAGCAAGTTAAACTACAAAAAGGTTATATATATATATATATATATATATATATATATATATATATATATATATATATATATATTTACATAGATGTATATATAAGTGAGAACATAAGTAATCAGTGATAGTAGTAGTAGTAGTATTTGTATTAGTACTATCAAAAATAATAATAATAATCCTTTGCGTGACTGATGTCCTAAAAATACGTAGTCGGCGGCGGCGGCGGCAGCGGCGGCGGCGGCGGCGGCGAGACGATGTTGTGGTGTTGGTGGCTGAGAAACAATCATTCCATCATTTACCCGTCTGTGTCTACATGAATATATATAAAGATATATATATATGCATACTTTTTTCCCCTCAGTTTTTGGACGTTATATTATTTTAATACCGATTTACCACCAGACTTAGAGAACCAGGCAGCAGTAGTATTAGTAGTAATAGTAGTAGTAGTGGTAGTAGCAAGTACCTTAGTACTTTGGCTACCAATATTTAGTTAGTAGTAGTCACATACCGATAATTGTTATTTTTTTTTTTTTTTTTTTTTGTTTGTAATATTAGTTAGTTAGATAGTTTTGTGGTCTTTTCTTCTTAAAATAAGAACATTAATAGAGCCTTTTTCTTTTCGCATGTATTGTATTTGGAAAAAAAAAAATATTGGGAATTGGTAGGTTTTTAGTCGCTGTGGTAGCAGTCTGAGAGAGACGGATAAATGTACACTCTCTCTCTCTTTCTTTGTCTCTCCCCACCACCATTATTTCACATGTAGTCGCTCACATGTGCCTAAATCCCATACGTAAACAAATAAATAAACACATATGTTTGTCTATCTGAGCCGTACCTAGAAATCGTGGTCATAATATATAAGTATTTTGAACTTAAAAGAGGTTTTCTCTACTTTTTTTGCCAGCGCGCACGTGCGTTGGACATGTAAAAAAAAAAAAAAAAAGAAAAGAAAGAAAAGAAAGAAAAAAGAAGGTAGAAAAAATTACCACACATTATCTATCTATCTATCTATCTATCTATCTATCTATCTATCAAATTAAAATATCAAATTAAATATATATATATATTAAAATTAAATTAATTATAAAATTAATATAATGATTCATATATGTGTGTGTGTGTGAAAAGCATTAGTTACTGAATAATAGTACTTATTAGATTTTTGGTAGAGGTAGTATATTGAACTAATTCTACCTACAACTACTGTTGTTTGTGTAGTTATTGCAGCTGATAGTTAAATATCGGCCATTGGTGATATTAGTACTGGAAAATGAGATTGCAAATAATATTGACATGACAGGTAGATATGAACTGTAGTATTTCTTGTAAGTAGTTTTATTGTAGTTTATTCTAAACAAAGGATTCAATGACATTGTATATATATATATATATATATATATATATATATATATATATATATATATATATATATATATATATATATATATATATATATATATATATATATATATATATATATATATATATATATATATATATATATATATATATATATATATATGTATATATTATAATAATAATAATAATAATAATAGCTAGTCCATTGTATTCGAGGGTACCCATCTAATAGTGCGGATAGTCAAATCCTATTGCAGACACTTGCTCAGGTGCATTTGTGTTTATGCAACATCCACAGAGCGCACCTGTGGTTTATACTGCAACTATGCTGAGTAGACCTTAGATACAGTTTCTGGGAAAGAATGGGTTATCGAGCATTATCAACAATTAGAACAAGGCTGGGATGCTCAAGCCTTCAGCGTTGATGACTTGTGACCAAGTGCTAGCTATCAACAGCCCCCAGGGGTTCCGTCAACTCAGTTACACTCCCAAGGTTTGGGTCAACCTGTGGTTTGTTTTTGAGGCACTTTCCAATGGTGCTGCATGCTGGGATTAACCCTTCAACTCTGATAACATCAGGGAGTCTCCTTCCTGACAAATCAACCATGGTGAGATTTGAACCCAGGTCTCATTGTGAGAATGTGAATGTTCTAACCACTCTGCCATGCCCACACACACACACACACACACACACACACACACACACACATACATATATATATATATATATATATATATATATATATATATATATATATATATATATATATATATATATAATATGAAATGATGGCCTAGAGGTAAGATATCTGACTGATGTCAAATCAGTCGGTGTTTCCATCCCGGGCTTGAAGCAATTGGACATCTAGCTACACTGAAGAGCTGTGATACAGTGAAACAGTCTGTCTGTAGATGACTATATATATATATATATATATATATATATATATATATATATATATATATATACAGGCAGTAATTCATTGGTATAATCCAGGAGAGTCCTATTAACACAATATATAATTTGAAATATGTTAAAACTGACTCACAAGGAGCGCTCAGTATTTATTTTCATTAAACAGATCAAAATTTTCTTTGCAATTAAAATTAAGAGTCAATATATATATATATATATATATATATATATATATGTGTGTAAAAATTATAGATAATAGGAAAGAACTCGTTAGGTAAATAATCCAAAGTTCTTTAGAATTTATGTTATTATTTTAAAAAAATAGTGCTTGATAAAAGTAGAGCATAAATATAATTATTTATTTAAAAAGATGATTCCATCGCTACATAAGAGTTCTCATGTTTCAAAACAAGAGCTTTAATATATATATATATATATATATATATATATATTATATATATATTGACAAATAGAAATGTTTCATGAAATAGGTTTCATTGAAAATAGATTGGATAATACATTATCAGATACATTTTCCATCAAATCTATTTATGAAACATTTCCATTTGTCAAAATTTAAAAACTTTTGCAAGATTTTCATACCCTAATTTAATAACACACACACACACACACACACACACACATACATATATATATATATATTTACTAGCTTAAAATGAGGAGTAAATGAAATGTAAATGTGATAGGCAACAATAAACTACAGAAGTCAATATTGTTCGCGGCCTTTAAGCATTGCATTAATATCTAAGCTTACCTATTAAAACTTCAATGATAATTCTTCTGCTGCCATTTAATTTAGAGACAATTTGATGTATGTAGGTCCTTACTTTCTGTACAAACAATTATTTTTATTTCATGGGTGACTTTTGCTGGATTTTGCAACTAATTTTGATTTTTCCCAAATTTATTTCCAAGTTATAAAAATTGTTATCGTACAAAAAAATTTGTTGCAAAAAATCACGGAAAAAAATTTGCTGAAAACAATTGCAATAATGAAAACTTGAGATTCCAAAATTTCAGGATTGTGTGTCCGGATCTGGTCCGGAATGTATTTTTCATTTGCTTACGGAGTCAGCCTGATTCGAAAATGGTATGATATGTTGGGCTATGGCCTCTAGGAGTAAAGTTGAAAATATGTGACACAGTGACACACTGACATTCGCATTTATTATATAGATATATATATATATGTATGTATGAATATATCTGCTTGTCTGTGATGAACTGTATTGTTACCCAGGTATATAAAGAGACAATGTGCTGTGCGCAAGAAAGTGCATATGCATGCACTTTAGTCCATGTGTAACTGGAGATGCAACAATAAAACATCTATAAGCTTGAACTACATATGTTTTATGCATATTGTCACATGCAAACATACTCAATAATGCACATGCAAACATACAAGTCTATTTATATATGTGAAATATATATATATATATATATATATATATATATATATATATATATATATCAGTTATGTGTCATGCATGATACACGCTTCGGTGATCATGTATCTTTCAATACATGAATGACAAGGGAAATTTTTTCCCAACAGTAGATTGCCATTTCTTTCTGAGACCAGTTGCTATCCAAGGCTATAGAACCCTTTCTGTCCTGTCATGTACCCATAGCTGGGGGAGAAGAAGAGGATTCATATCTTACCCAAGGGTATTAGCAGTGAATGTAATGGATTCGACTGGAACTCGATATCAGCCCTTCAGTTCCTCAATCCATTACACCACCCTGCCTTGAGATATATATATATATATATATATATATATATATATATAGAGAGAGAGAGAGAGAGAGACAGACAGACAGACAGACAGACAGACAGAGAGAAAGCAAGAGAGAGAGATACACAGAGAGAAAACAAGAGAGAGAGATAGACAGAGAGGGAGAGAGAAAGAGAGAGACAGAGAGAGAGCAAGAGAGAGATTGACAGAGAGAAAGCAAGAGAGAGAGATAGACAGAGAGAGAGCAAGAGAGGGAGAGAGAAAGAGAGAGACAGAGAGAGAGCAAGAGAGAGATAGACAGAGAGAGAGCAAGAGAGAGAGATAGACAGAGAGAGAGCAAGAGAGAGAGATAGACAGAGAGGAAGCATGAGAGGGAGAGAGAAAGAGAGAGACAGAGAGAGAGCAAGAGAGAGATTGACAGAGAAAGAGCAAGAGAGAGAGATAGACAGAGAGAGAGCAAGAGAGAGAGATAGACAGAGAGAGAGCAAGAGAGGGAGAGAGAAAGAGAGAGAGCAAGAGAGAGAGAGAGCAAGAGAGGGAGAGAGAAAGAGAGAGAGCAAGAGAGAGAGAGAGCAAGAGAGGGAGACAGAAAGAGAGACAGAAAGAGAGAGAGAGCAAGAGAGAGGAAGAGAGCAAGAGAGACAGAAAGAGAGAGAGAGAGAAAGAGAGAGAAAGCAGAAGGAATGTGGACATATAGTTGAAATATTCATTTTCTGTTCATGAGACTCAGGTCTGAAACTCATCTCATGTCATTATCGTTAATTAACCAAGAAGGTGATTTCTTGATCTTATCGGCCTGGGGAGATGGTCCCAGCATGCAACACCTTTTGGAAAGTACTTGAAAAATCATACCACTGGTTGATCCAAGACTTGTGAGTGAAATTGGGTAGATGGAATTATTTTGGACGCATTGATGGTTGTGCTGGCATGAAGTCTCAAGTCATCGTGACTGAGGGTTTGAGTGTACTGGCCTTGTTCAGACTGTTGATTACGTCAGATAATGAGCTCTCCACCAGAAACTGTAACTAAGGTCAGCTCAGCATAGCTGCAGTTTCAGCCTCAGTTGGTCTCTGTTGCATAAACAGGCATCTGCAATGGGGATTGTCTAGCTGCCCTACTAGACAGGCATACTTGGATACCCCCCACATAGATATATATATATATATGTCTTGACAAGTCTTTTCATATATGCATATGAATTAGATTTTTATGTACTTGATAAAGATAGATTTAGCATGTCCACACAAATATGTATATATAGCATATGATGATATATATATATATATGTATGTGTGTGTGTGTATGTATGTATGTGTGTGTATGTGTGTGTGCATAAGTATTTATAAACATGTAGGCAAATGTATGTGTAATTTAGTGTTAAAATACAAATGTATTTGGTCTGTATACACAGAAGCAATAGCTTCTGTGTATATCTGTATGTATGTAAGTATATATGTTTGTATGTATGCATAACCATTTGAAAAATCAATAATTCATTATGAGATTTGTATCTGCTCATCTCAGTCTGTTCTCATCTATCTATCTATCTATCTATCTATCTATCTATCTCAGTCTCTTTTTTCTATCTATGTATCTTGCTATCTATCTATTTCATTACCATCTATCTATTTTATTCCTATCTATCTATATATCTATCTATCTAATTCTGTTCTAATCATTTTGCTTTCTATCTATCTATCTATCTATCTATCTATCTATCTATTTCTGTCTGTTTATGTGTTTATATATTTGAATATGAAGAGAATTGTATGTAGAAGAGAATATTCACAAACATGGCTCGACAAAACTCTAAAAATGCAACATTGAATTCTATAGCACTGTCATACAAATATATATATCTATTCATACTCAAATGTATACTCAACCATTCCTGCCTATATATATATATATATATATATATATATATATATATATATATATATATATATATTAAAGATCAGGATTCAACTCTGACATTCAGCCTTTTATTATCTATCTATCTATCTATCTATATATATATATATATATATATATATATATATATATATATATATATATATATATATATATAGATAGATAGATAGATAAAGATAGATATACAGGTAATAATCCATTGGTATATAATCCAAGTGAATCTTATTAATACATATATAAAATACTAAATATTAAAACTGATTCCCACATAGAGCTCAATGTTTTAATTAAACAGAGCAACATATTTTATACAATAGGAACTAAGATTACATTAGGTTAATGATCATTTTCACCTTTGTAAATTGAAATAAAATTTACAAGGATTTTCAAGCAGTCAATGGATGATAATTTCTTGAAATAATTTATCATCTATCATGATATATATATATATATATATATATATATATATATATATATATATATATAATTACATTAGCATTGACAAACATAAGTTATCTCTTGTAGATTTCCTGTTTCATCTAAAGTCTATTTCAACTCTATACTTCTAATGTCTCTGCTTGAAGTTTTAAATTTTATTCAATAATTATTTTCTTCTTTCACAATAGGTGTAGATAGGTTCACCTCTCATCTATTTTACAATCCTACATTGTCTTTTGAACATTACTATAATTTTATCCATTGTTCTATGTTTTGGATTGGATTATTGGTTCCTTCTATAGTCTCATCATTTGTTTATGTTTTCCCAATCACAATAATGTTGACCTCTTCAATGTTTAGTTAGCCATTATCTTTCCTGCAGAGCCCCAAGAGCAACACTTCTTGGCCTTTCTTATGCTAATACAACCTCACACAGTAATGCTCTGCCTTGAGTGACTCTTGAGTGGGCATTAGAAAAAAAATGTTTAATATTTATGTTTACTTTGTCATGAAAACACTCCAATGATTGCACAGGATCACCTCGTCAGTGATGTTATGACTTGGGCTCATGACAAGTTTCAGATCTTGCAACATCATACTTGTTCTCCCAAGAGACTCTACCGAAGCAGTACTATTCTGGCAGGCGATCCTGAAGCAAAAATCCACCAAGCACACAACAAATGGACCCATTAAGTAACTGACAGTGCTGATCTTGAAATTACAAGTGACCAATCATTAACAACTTACGTCACTTCCTCCTCAGCCAAAACGATACAAAAAGAGAATAGACAGCATGCTCGTCTTTTTCTTTCCTAGGTCCACCATGCGGAAAGATCCACATTCTCAATGAACAGTTTGACATAACAGGTAAGTAATGGCAAGAAAAGTTTCCTTTCATATGAAGCATTACTTTAACAACAAAAAAAAAAACAGAGTAAAGAAAATATCGAACTCATTTGTTGATCATAGGAATTATGATCATAAACGTTTCTTGCTTTCTTTTCCCACCACCACCTTTTCTTCTTTTCATTTCTTTCCTTTTACGCTCCTCCTCTCTCCACTCCAGAATAGGAAAACAAAAACAAAAACAAAAAAAAAACAAACAGTTAGGAACACCAAGATAGTGTTGTTGAAAAAGCTGAAGAAAAAAAATTAAATAAAATAAAAAATAAAAAGACCCTCCCCTCAAACAGCAACTTAGGTCATCCCTCCACATATCCCTTTTCCTTCCTTCCCAACTACCCCTCGACATCCACCAATCTCCATCATAGAACTCCATGGAACAGATCTTTTAATCCAAAGGCATTTTGAGGCTTTTTCTGCAGAGAGCCCTGATGGCTTTTCTCTTGTATATATATTAACTTGAATCTTGTTTTATCAACCCAATTTAGTTTTTGTTTTGGTAAGGATTGCAGATAAGTCATCAGACAACTCTAGGAAATAAAAAATTGCATACATGCTATACAGCAGCATGTCATCACATAAAGAGAAAATTCCTCTTCTCAACCATTGGAAACTCTGATTTCCAAAGTTCTGATCGCATTAATCTGTTAGAGAAACTTTATTGGTCCACAAAATCTTACATGTCTGGCTAGTACAACAATATGGAAACAATTCAAACTTCGTCAGGAGTGTGACAAGGTGAAATGACTATTTAATTTTTCCTAGATTATACCCTGTGCATTTACAAGCACAGATATAAAGAGATAGGCACTGTTCAGTTAAGCGTTCCATACCATATCCCAAATGAATCTATTATTATAAACCGTGATCCTGCTTCCCCGAGATCAGTGTGTGAGGACATACGTATTCATAGTTGAGATAATAATGATCTTGAAGAGAAAAAAAAATATCTGCTATCAAAGTGTTCCAAGAAACAGGACTCAAGATAAATGCTTCCAAAACAGAAACTATGATCTAGAATACGACTGAAAGAATTCATAGCACTGATCCTGAATCAATCATAAAACTACAGAACAACATAAGGGAACTAATTAACTAGTATAATAATAATTAGTAAATGCTAAACAGAATGAATAAACTCATTAAAGTATTAGTAAAGAAAATGTTTATTATTTATGTCTTCAAGCATATATATATATATATATATATATATATATATATGTGTAAAATATATAGAAATTAGGAAAGAACTCATTAGGTAAATAATCCAAAGTTCTTTAGTATTTTAGTTATTATTTTTAAAAGTAGAGTTTAAATATAATTATTTATTTAAAATATGATTCAATGCTAAAAGAGTTCTCATGTTTCAAAACAAAGGCGAAAACTTCAATATAATTATTTGAATTAAATTGAAAAATTAAAGTACCAGATGCTCTGTTCCATCTTCAACTGAAATTTAAAAAAAAAAATTATATTGAAGATGGAACTTGTTTTGAAACATGAGAACTTAATTCAAATGTAGCATTGGAATCATATTTTAAATAAATAATTATATATATATATATATATATATATATATATATATATCTGTTGCAATATAGAAAAATAGGAAAGAACTAGTTAGGTAAATAATGAAGTTTTTTAGTATTTTTGTTTTTATTTTTAAAAAATAGTGCTTGATACAAAAGTAGACATGTAAGAGAAATTCAAAAACACCCTATATGTATAGCTATTTCCCCATAAGAATTACCTTGTAAGGAATGTCATCTTCAGACCTCTTGGTGTTGACAATCTTTGCACTTTGCAATGTAATTCTTGCAGGGAGAAATAGCTATACATATGGCGTATTTTTGAATTTCTTTTATATGCAATTTATTTATATACACTCTGTAATAAATACATTCGGCTCTCTTTGTGGATCAATTTTAATATTTTATGTTAATAGGATTCACCTGGATTATTTATCCATGGAGTTTTACTTGTGTATATATATCTATATACATTTTTACCTGTGTATATATATCTATATCTATATATACCAAAATATAAATCTGCACTCAGATTTTTTTCAGACAGTTTAACCACAACTTCAAGCACAATACTCAACATCTTATGCCTAAATTAGAAATACATACATATATATATATATATATATATATATATATATATATATAAGGGACAATATGATATATAAATTTCTATATATCAAAACAATGTTGGGTAACTGAATGGCAATATCGAAAAATTTATGCAACTTGTTTTAGCCTTCAGAATGACTTCATTAGATTAAAATAATGTTCTTACTGATAGAATTATATATATATGTATATATATATATATCTTCTAGACTCAATGAATTAGTTATATATATATATGTATATATATATATATATAGTCATCCACAGGCAGACTGTTTCACTGTATCACAGCTCATCAGT